AGTTTATTTCTTGGGTGGCATTGAAAATTGGGTTGGGCAAATGTTTTGTTAGTGGGATGAATTGTAAAGGACCTGCCTAGTATGGGCCAACAGGCCTCCTGCAGTGTTCCTCCTTTCTTATGTTCTTATGTTGTTATGTTCTTATTAATGTATTTTCATCAGATGATGCAATGACATTCTGTGGGTCAATAATATCTTTACTTAATGTTAATTTACGGGATATCTCTGAATCTTGCTCTAAGGGATGAGATGTCACCCCACATATTATAATGTTATGAAATTTCTCACGGTATAACTTTACTAATTTTGCTGTGAAACAAGATTTGCCACATTCGAATAACCGGCAGTGATAATCCTTGAAGGATAACGAAATATATCAACATCAGCCGATGTGCATGCTTTCAAGTTCATTGTACTAGCGAGAAACTGTGTTTACCATAGAGATGTGACTTGTATACTGTGAGTGTTAATGAGTTTTCAAGATATATATCAGCTAAGATAACAAGAGGATACAGAGCGACCTCCTGTCGCCGACCGGGACTACCTCACCAAATTGACACAGGTGTTCTTACCCTGTCTTATGATGACCGTCTGTCTGACTTGTGTTGACTCACGTGTGCAGTAAGGAGATTTTATCAGATACACATTGGGTATGTGATTTCTATCGGAAATCTACCTTCGGTGTGAGCGGCATTTCATGGCACCCGTCTGTGTGACCTGTGTTGACTCAAGTGTTCAGCAAGAAGATTTTATCTAACTTGTCTACAAACATGGCGCAATAATTTCGGGGTGAACCATATAAGGTCAAGGTGTCTGACAGAGCGAGGACTATGTTTCCATTCGTCAAGCGTGGCAGACCTCTTCTTAATTCGGCAAACCCACCTGCATCATGAAGGTAAGTTGTACTTAGAAATCTTAATTCGTGATATGTAAAATTGTGGTTAAACAAAAATTGTACCTTTAAAGGTGTTGAATGTTCTTAATCGCTTGAAAATTTTTTACCCAAATCTTAATTCGTGATATATAAAATTGTACCTTAACATATTAATTTACCTCATTTAAACTTAACAAGTGGAAATAATGAAGAGGTTGGAGTATACGAGTGAAATTCTTACCAGACAATGAGTGAAATTTTTACCGGATAAATGTGTTAATGAGTGAAATTCTTAACAGAGGATAAGAAAAGAATACACGCGAATTAATGAAGAGGAGAATGTCGATAATACGAAAATCATCGCAAATCAAGCGAGGAGATGCACATCACGGTGAAAGATTGACAGAATTACAAAAAGAGTGGGATCACATAGATGTATTATGGTAGAGGCTGTAAAAACAGGTATGTATCCAAATTGTGACCAGTACTTATATTTTTGTCGTATTATGTAAAAAATTGTTGGGGTGAAAGATTCTGTTCATTAATCGTTGTATTGCTGAATACCGAAGCGAGGAAATCTTAATATTGAGATCAGTGCCTTATATTTTTTGTTGTATTAACGAAATCTTGTTATGCAAAATCTTGTTATATAAAATTGTTGGTGGTTCTTACCAGACATTAATTCATGTTATGTAGTGAAAGATTTTGCTCTATTAATATTAATTCGTAGTATGTAAAAATGTGACTAGAGCCTTATAGGTGTTGTTGTTGAGGAAAAATGTTTGTTAATCGATCAGTATGTGAATACCGAGACGAGAAAATATGTAAAAATATAGAATATGAATTGGAGATACTTTTCCTCGTACGAAATACACCTGGTACTTCTGCAGCTGTGAATGACGCTGAGAGAGCAGGTACTTCACATAATCCAGGGAGTAATGACGCACATCCTGGAGGTGCGACCGAGAATGAACCTGAGAGTGCAGGTTGTTCTGCTAGTGTTGGTACCTCACAACACGGAGGTGCAGCCTGGAATGTGGATACATCTGTCACCGTTAATGAAGATGAGAGAGCAAGTATCTCACATAGTCTGGGGAGTAATGTCGCACACAACAGTGGAGGTGCGACCGTGAATGAAGATGAGAGGGAAGGTACTTCACATGATGCGCCTGTGAATATGAACGATGAACATCCAGAAATTATCACATACGTCCAGAATTTTAGAGGTAGGCACAAAGTGAGGAAATATAGTGTCCCTTCAACTTATCAGAGAGATTTAAGAATGTATTTGCATGCTTATAGGGATTATTTTATAGGTCAGATGCGAGATATGTATGATAGATCACCTCTGGCAATGTCACTCAGAATCCATCCGATTATAGTTATTAGGACATTACGCCAGAACATATTAGGTGATGATCAAAATGGACAATTTGTGATAAATTTAGTGTTTTAGTTAGTAAGTGAAGAGGAAATCTCTGAAGTATTTGATCGATGGGTGGGAACGATATTAGAAAGGTATGAGACAGAGTTGCAAAATCAGGAAGGGATCATAGATCTAAAGGAATCTTTGAGCATAGAATATGTCAAGGTAGAATTCAGAGTGCAAATGGGATCATATGTGGAATATCCCAAGAAACTACGAGGGAGCCAATATATCTTTAATCCAGATATTAATTATGGATTGTGTGTACTGCGTGCTTTTGCTGCCTATCATTGTCACAAAAAGGGTATGAGATAGGAAAATATTTCCTAAGTTGTAAATCCTAAGAGAGAGTGTCTTAGTCATGCAAAATCTTTTACAGATGATTTTCCCATTACACGTGATGAATTAGGTCTATTAGAAAAGGAAAATAAGGTGTCATTATTCGTCTATCAATTAAGAGAGGATAAAGATGGGTCATTTGTGGCTATGTGCCGTAAGGGGAATAAGAAATATAAGGACATTATGTGTGCCTTATTGATGAATGAAAGTCATTTGGTTTCAGTCAAAGATTTTCACGGCTATATTAGAATGATAATGACAGAAAAAAAAGGTGATGATAAGAAGCACTGCCATAATTATTTGATGAAGTTAAATATCCAGGAAGAGTTAGATATCCACGAAGATGGATGTAAAATCGGACTCTCGTATTCCCCCGGAAGGAACAACTGTACACTTTAGAAATTTTAGTGATACACATTCCAGCGAATACATCGGTGTATTCAATTTCGAATGTGCATTAGATACCACTCCCCCGGCAGGTAAAACTGAGTCACGCCATAAAGCCATTGCCTATTGTTATATTATATTTGATCACACAGGTGAAATAGTGTGCATGAAGAGTTATAAGGGGAAGGACACTGTTAATCATTTCATTTTAAATGTCAATGGTGAATGGAGTAAGATAAAGTTTAGAAGAGAGTATCATGTAATCCATATGACAGAGGAGGATAAGACCAGACATGATTCACAGATCACTTGTGAATTATGTAGTAACACCTTCAAAGATGCCAAAGATAATCATAAACATCATGACCACACTTTAAAATTCAATAATTATATTGGTGCAGATTGTGCGCGATGCAATTTGCAGTGTAAAGATAAGAGTGAGAAATTATTTTTTTTGTCATAACATGTCGTATGATTTAGGAATAATTTTAAAGGAATTGCAGGTTGATAAATATGAAATTGAACTTCATTCGAAACAAGGACTCAAATTCTTGAAAGTAGACATAGGTAGGTAAATCATTGAAATAAACAAAGACTATTCTGAAAGATGTGCCTCAGGATGTGTTGCCTTTATTATGTAAAGGAAAGCAAGTCCTGTGCTACGATTATATTGATAGTTTAAAGAAACTCGTTGAAACAAAATTACCGAGTAAAGAACATTTTTGTAATTCTTTTAGAAATAGTGCAATTAGCCAGGAGGATTATGACCATGATGCTATGAAAGTATTTGACTTGGGAAAATGTAAGAGTTTAGGAGATTACTTGATGTTGTATCTCAGACAGATGTTGGATTGTTAGCCGATGTCTTCATGGAGTGGCGTAAAACACTCAAAGATATTTATAAGCTCGATGTTAGTAATTACATAAGTTTGCCTTCTTTCAGTTGGGACGCATTCCTATTGGAAACTAATGTGAAATTCGATATAATATATTCCAATGAATTATACGACCACATTAAAAGGAATCTCAGAGGAGGGTTCACATGTACAGTTAATCAATATACTAAAGTAGATAATCCCTTAATCCCAATTTTGATGTTGAGAGTGGAATGGGTACTCACATTTTATATCTAGATTTTAATTCTTTGTATGCTAGTGCAATGGTTGAAGCTCTTCCACAGAATGGAATAAGAAAATTATCGAATGAGGAGAAGAATGATTTCCTCGATGTGGGATTAAGAAATGTTTCCTGTGAGGGTCAAAAGGGATATTGGATAGAATGTGATACCAAGCCCGTGTCCCCTGAGGTAGATAGATGTACTGATGAACTACCCTTGGTATTATCACACATGAATATATCACAAGAGATGTTGTCTCCTTATTGTGAATCTGTATTGAAAAATGAAGGTAGAAATATACTCAAATCTAATGCGAAATTAGTGGCAAGTCATTTACCTCAGAAAAATTATATGGTCAGTCTAGATTTGCTACAGTTACTAATGGAACTTGGGTTAGAGGTTGAAAAGGTGCATGCAGTATATGAATATACTCAGTCAAAATTTTTAGAACCCTTCATAACAACAAATATCGCACAGAGAACAGCCACATAATGTCCCATCAAGTCAAAAGCATTCAAATTAACCAATAATGCTATTTATGGGAAAATTAAGTGAACAGACCTAGATCAAGCCTTCCTATTCCAGGGTTGCAGGATTGCCAGATATCTCTGTTTCCATTGCCGAGGGATGTCCTGTCCAGGCTGAACCGGGACCTTCTCTTAAGTCTTTTAGATACAATCAGAAAGAGAAAAGGATTTATTTAAGCTCCAAAGGATCCTTCCTAAAAAAATCATCACACATTTGATTCTAGGGAAAGAGTGTTATGTTACATTCTCAAATTGATTTTAGCAGTTAAAAAACCACTATCTCGGTTTTCAATTCTTGTGATTGCCAAAAAAGAAATTGTATTATTTTTAAATATAGTTTTAAAACAAACATTATGGTGATGTGTATAAAATCATGTATACAGACACTGAATCCTACAAGTTTTAGCTTGAAATGCAAAGATTTGCGTGTGAGTTAAAAAGAGAAAACTGTGTTAAGTATATGGAATTTCAATTTTCAGTCCTGATCATCCCTTGTATGATATAATAGTAGAAAGGTGAGATTAGGTTTATTGGAATGTGTCATGGTGAATGTAAATAGTAGTGAGATTGGTAGCTATGAAAAGCTGGGTCGATGAATGTTTCAGAGAACCGAAATGTTGATAAATAAGGGGGGGGGGGGGGGGGGGGGGGGGGGGGGGGGGGGTGGGGGCGGGTTGGGGGGGGGGGGCACATGTGCAACTCTTGGGTATCTTTATTGATGAAAACGTTTCGCCACACAGTGCTTATTCAGTCCATAACAATGGAGAATCTTGAGAAACAGGAGGAGAATGAGTTTCTCAGTACCTCAACCTGAGTCGTTGTGGTCAGTCCAAACAATTTTAATAGAATGCGCCTTACGTGCGGAGAGGAGCTTATAAAACAGTTGGCAGGAGAGGTGCAGCAGTATTAGGTGGTGTCAATATGTTCAATGTGAAAAGTATGTCATGCCCACGAATTAGGCAAAGCGTTGAATTCCCAAGTATTAAGATCCCAAGAAGTTACAGTTTTCTTACAGGTTGTAGATGGAATGGTTCAGAGAACCGACATGTTGATAAATTAGGGACATGTGTTCTAATTTATCAGGCTCTGAATGTGAAATGATTCTGTAAAGATGTTGGAATATCAAATATTGTCAGTAGAGCAAGGGTATCCGTCACTGTTAACTCCTTTATTTAACTATGCATGATATAAGAGGGGGGGGGGGGGGGGGGGGGGGGGGGGTGGGGGGGGGGTGGGGGGGGGGTATCTTTAAAGAATTGTGATAGGGAAGTATTCATTGTAATGTCTAATAGCATGTAAAAGGTGAAATATGTACAGTAAGATTAAAAAGAGAAGGATTGTCAGCCTTTGATGATAAAAGGTTTTCCTTGAGAAAACTAAGCCAATCCTTGGCTTATGTTCACCATGATATTCCACCATCTTAACGTATCCGCACAACACTGGGATCCACAATTGGGGTTTTCCATTGTTGATGATTTTATTTGTATATAATCTTTTGTATTAACGGAAAATTTGTGGTTCAGAAAATTTCTTATATATGAAAATAAAATAATGAAAAATATTGTGTATTAGTGTTATCCTGCATTAAGTTAATGAGATGGATACAGAGTGACCCAGCTTGACCTGAAACTCAATCTGTTGGACTGTGTTTACTTGTGATGAGTCATGGTGGCTATTCTCGTGACGCAACACATGGCATGAACAAACATGTTGTACTCCCGTAGGGGTGGTTACCAGGGTGGATGACCAAACGTGATTGCATATTCTGGGTAGTGGGGTCACGCATGTTTAGTTCATAAGAGGAAGTTACTTGTTAACTGTACTACCCAAGGTGTGATACCATGGCCCCATAGGGGGGAACCTTTACCATACCCCCCCAAACCATTCTGGAATGCTTACTCCCATAGTGGGGGACTCAAAAATTGATTCGGAGGAGATTTTAAAGGGTACCCATAGGGAGGAACTCATATCTTTTTGTTTGTATTACTGATAATTTGGCAATCTGTATTATTTTGAAAAGTGGTTAAAAATTGGGGACATTAGGGGGGAGTGAGGAGGTCTTATCACAGGGGTACCCATATGGGCAACCTTTGCCTCACCTCATATGGGTAAACCAAAAAAAAAATTCGAAAAAAATTCTATAAAAATCGTAAATAAATTTGAAAATTTCGAGAAAAATAAAAAAAATAAAAAAACAAATAAATCGAGGAGCGGGGGCGATTCCAGAGGTAAAGTGGGGGGGGGGGCTTGCGGACGGGACCGGAAGTATGGGGATCGGATGTGGGGGACCGAAAGTGTGGGGGGAAGAGACGGAACACCCCATTTAGAGGAGCTCTCAGTAAGTCAAGGGACACTACTGAGGTAGTGTCATGTGAAGACACTGTTGAGGTAGTGTAGGTGAAGACACAGTTCGAGGTAGTGTCATGTGAGAAACAGTTGAGGTAGTGTCATGTGAAAGACACAGTCGAGTAGTGTCGTTGTGAAGACACAGCGAGGTAGTGTCGTGTGAAGAACAAAGTCGATGTAGTGTCGTGTAAGGGACAAAGTCGAGGTAGTGTCGTGTGAAGACACAGTCGAGGTATTGTCATGTGAAGAAAGTCGAGGTAGTGTCGTGTTGAAGACAAAGTCGAGGTAGTGTCGTGTGAAGTAACTGTCGAGGTAGTGTCGTGTGAAGACACAGTCGTGTTAGTGTCGTGTGAAGACCAGTCGAGGTATTGTTGTGTGAGACACAGCGAGGGTATTGTCGTGTGAAGAACAGTCGAAGGTAGTGTCGTGTGGAAGACACAGTCGAGGTAGTGTCGTGTGAAGACACAGTCGAGGTAGTGTCTTGTGGAAGACACAGTCGAGGTGTGTCGTATGAAGACACAGTCGAGGTAGTGTCGTGTGAAGACTCAGTCGAGGTAGTGTCGTGTGAAGACACAGTCGAGGTAGTGTCGTGTGAAGAGCTGTGAGTAGTGTCGTGTGACTGACTCAGTCTGAGGTAGTGTGTGTGAAGGACACGTCGAGGTTGTGTCGTGTGAAGACACAGTCGAGGTAGTGTCGTGTGCGGAAGACAACGGACACTCAATAGTGTGTTAACGGGTGTCATATGTGAGACAATTTGTGTCGATAAGAACACAGGTGAAGGGTATAACACAAATCATATGCCATTATTAAGGTGTCATGTAACCCTGTACAAAAGGTAGTATCTTGTGACACAGAGGAGTACTCTTGACAAGAGAATAGGGTGTAGCTCGGCGCAACTGAGAGGAGCGTGTAATGACGCAGAGAACAGGGTGTCGTGTGACACGGAAAGAAGGCGTGTCGTGTGGCACAGACAAAAGGGTGTCTTGTGACACTAAGAAAAGGAGCGTCGTAACAGCGACAAGAGATTCATGTGACACGGAGTAGTAGGTGTGTCATGACACATATGGAAAGATAGTGTCAAGTGACACGGGGTAGGTAGTGTCATGACTACATTGTTATGTAATATATGATGATAATGACAAAAAATATACTCTTATTGTATAATGTTTCTTTACAAATTAAAGAAAATACTCTTTTACGCTAAAATTAAATTTACTAGTAAAGATCAAAATGTACCGTAAGTGTTTTTGTGCTGCCGGAGTGTATTACATATTGTGGTTGTGGTAATGGGCTAGTTTATTGATTATACTGGTATTTAACCTTGGTAATAAATACCGACAAGTTGGTTTTTAGTAAGACACGTTCAGCAAACACTATAACATATTTATTAGAAAACGTTTCGGTCCTGGGACCTTGATCACTTCTAACATACAGAGGTAGAAAGACATTATATATATAAGAGGTGAGTGAGATGTGACGAACAT